GTTCATCCATCCCCCACCTCAGGACTTTATATAATTATTTTGTTATATAGAGGGACAGACTCCTCCCCCACTTAAGAAAAACATCTCCCCTACTCCTGTAAGTATGCCAGTCTCTATCCTTTACCATGTTTTATTTTTCTTATAGCACTTATTGCCAACTGACATTAAATTCCATATTTGTTTATTTTCACATCTGGTCATTGAGACAATGGCATTTTGTTGGTTTGTTCTCTCCTAGCCACTAGAATAGTACTCAGCCCAAACCTGGACTCAATGTATGCTTAATTTAAGAAATAAATAATTTGGAAGGTAGAGTAGATCTAAGAAGTAACTATATAGCACTGACATACACTATAGTATTTCTCACCTTGGGGGGAGAAATTTGTAGTGTAGTTGAAAAGAGCTACCCTACCTCTTCTCTGAAAGACACACCTGTACACATATAACATAGGAACTGGTGTTGAAAACCTCAGGTTGGAAGTTCAAGGACATCAGAACTAACAACTCTTTCATTAATCTAAAAGAAATTAACATTGAATCTGAAGCTGTTAACCTAAAGGCCACCAATCACGTCAATGAAGATGACTCCAGAGATACAGAGAAGACCAAATAATTCATGCCTACTACTGAACTCATACATGAACTTGTTAACTCCCAGCTGCACATTTCAAATGCAATCCAATTTTCTGTGATGTCAAATTCATATGCCTAAATTTATTAAATGGTACTAAATTACCTCTACATTTAGATTTGAATTTTCTACTAATCAATTTAAGTAAATGAGGTAGGGGAAAAAAAGACAAAACATAGACTAAGATAGGAAAATACACTTCAATTAACACATCTTTTCCTTTGAAGGGTAAAAATTTTATTTTTGAGGAAATTCTTACTGCACATTTTCAAAGAGAGTCACATAAGAAAGCAAAAATGTTATCCTCCCCTCATCCTAGAAATAAATAAAAAGGGCATAAAATTTCTTTTTAAATCGTGACACTTGGAAGTTTAGCACCACCATCCAAAATGAACAAAAAAGGGAAAAAAAGCATTTACTATATATTTCAGATTTCTTTGGCTGGGGTTTTCCCCATGTGTGAACATCTTTTTTCTCAATTCATATTAGCAAAACAGTAAAAACCAGGAAAAAAATATAAACCTAGTGGTTGCTGAAACTGGGGAGGGTGCTGTCTTGTCTTCTGTGCAGGCATTCCTGGGATCTCAGCTTTCTGAAAAAATCTGCTGACATTTTTCTTTGCAGTTGTTAGTTCCTTAAAGAATAATGGTAAACATTCTAATGTCCAAATCTTGGTTAGTCTTCCACCTTATTGCTTGGATGTTTCTTTGGTGTTGGTAAGGTCGTGGTCTGCTTTTTCCTTTATTTTATTTTTGAATGGTCATTAATACTTTAGGTCACCTGGAAAAAAATTAAGATCAAACTTAAACAAAATGACTAAGAGTTAAAGAATAAAAAAGAAAAAAATTATCTATTTTTCATATATATAATCTAGAAAAAACAGTATTTCAAAAGCTCTAAACAAAATCTACACATCATGTACAGATTTATAAACTATACATTAATGGAAACTCTTACTTTTTCAGTATTTTCCTTAAAGAGAAAAGGCAGTACATAATGGTAAAAATTTTGTTAAACTGTATAAAAATCTTACCGTCATAATGCCTTACCAAATAATCATTCATTTTAGTGGCTGCATCATAGCTCCTAATACAGATATACCACAATTGGCTACTTCCCCTATGTCAGACAGATTGTAAATAGCAGAAATATTTTCCCCCATATTTTGGATTATTTCCTTAGGAACAATACCTAGAAATAATGTTACTCTCAGTAAAAGGCTATGGTCCTTTTTAAATGATTAATATATAACTCTTAAGTCAGTTAATACAAGTTTGAATAGAGTTTGTATTTCTATGATAAACTGCCCATATTACCTAGAGATAAAATAGAATATTGCCAGCACCCCAAATGTCCACCCAATGAAAGGATGATTAAATTGTAAATCACTGTGTACTAAAGTAGACGGCATTAAAAAGCAGGAACTTATAATAATTCCAAGACTTTATTTATGAAATTTCAACAATTTTTTGAAAAATAACACTGACACTATAAGTTTTGAAACCTCTCTTTTACCTAAAAACTAATGAAAAGGGTAACAACGAAGAAATATAAAACTCTAAAGTCTCAGGTAAAAGGGTGAATGAAACCAACTATGACAAACTTTTAACAGGCTGGTTCTGTAATTGGGATGGTCTTTCTAGCTATATTTCTATCTGTATAAATGACATTTCAAAATAAACAAAAAAAAAAGTAGGAAACAACAATGATGAAAATAACAAGCTAACCTTTATTAAGAGGTTAATTCTTTAAAACACCCTATTCTAATCACTTATACATTATTTCACTTAATCTTTGCAACAACCCTAGATGCTAAATAATTAATACCTGCATTTTACCAGTAGCAGACATTACTGAGGTAGAGGATAAATAAACTGCCCAAGATCACCCAGCAAATGAGATGCAATAGAGCCTGAGCTGGATAAACAACCCCCTTGGCTCTTACACATTATATTGCACTGTCTCAAAATGCATAGTGTTCAAAAAAAAAAAAAAAGAGACAGAAATAAAAATAAATAAAGTTGGCAACCAAAGAAAAAAGAGAAAAAAAAAAAACACACTCTTCACTCTAGTTTATTTTACAGATAGTCTCCTGATACTAAAACCAGGCCTTTGTCAGAAACTTTAAAACTATCAAATTGGCTGGTAGGTACCACAAAAATGAAGCATTAGTTTTTCTAAGTGGTACTAACAGTTAAAATCTGTCGGGCTGGCCCCGTGGTGCACTCGGGAGAGTACAGCGCTTGGGAGCGCAGTGCTGGCGACACCAAGCCAACGGTTGCGATCCCCTTACTAGTCACAAAAAAGACAAAAAAAAAAAAAAATCTGTCTGTCTAGAAAAAAGTAGTTGACTATCTTCAACTCTGACAATGTTTATACCCCCAAAGCTTATTGAAATAAGGTCAATCCCAGAGGTATTTACCCACCAAAACTCCTTTTCCCCAGAATCCAATGGAGAGGAGGGTATGGCACAGATGAATTGCAGAACTAATCGTACAACTAATCTATACCACTGTTGAGAAATCAATAACATTTGAAAGAACACATCAACTCGAGACCAGGATGCCCAAGCTCTTACCCTGTAGATGGTGAAGGTGCCTGGGGAGCCTGGTGTTACTCAGCACTGCTCTGCTCGGTGGCTGGAGCAGGGTTCTCAGTCGGTGCTTCACCTACTCTGGTCTAAAACACAAAGCAAAGCCACATCCAGAATCAATCCAGATGAGAGTGGAAAGTTCAAGACTAAAATGTCTTAAAAGTTTGAATGTTTCTGCCTATGAAGGAAAATCACTGTGCAAAAATTTAACTACTCAGATATGAGTCAAAAGTAGAAATAAGTACCACAGAAGAATGGCCCCCAAATGGCAACTAAATACCACTATCCTCCATGAAGTCTATGATTTACAATTGCTTTCAATTCATGCTTAGAGCTTCTTCTCTATAAACACTGTCCTTTATTTGGAGAGCCCGAAATGTTTTAGCTCTGAGTCCCAATTAGTATGGGTAATTCGTTCAGAGAATGTTAGTTAGCTGAACTGAAATATTTAGTTTATGTTATGTGTAAGACATACTCTATACACATGAATCTTTAGCAAAATATTATATGAGAGTTCTTCAAAAAGTCCATGGAAAGATTCACATTATCTCTTAATTCTATTGTTACATGAATTTTTTAAGGTATCCTCATATTTAAGTGATAAGTTATCTTATAATAGATCACTCTTAGAAATGCTAAAGTTTGACATGACTAAGGACTCTCTGGCAACACTGACTGGTTGGATTTACCTCTTTGCCATCTTGTGAAGGAGCAGTGGGAGGACGGGGGCGACGCCGATAGTTGTAGGGACGCCGGTAACCACGGCGAGTAGACGGCTGGTTTGGACCACTGGCTGCTTGTTGATTCTCTTTATCTTCAGCCTCTCCAACAGCTGGAGCAGGTCGTGGGCGGGGAGGCCCCCTATAGCAGAGGACACAGAACAAAAGAAAACAAGTGTAACAGAACAGGGATTCTCAAGAATATGAGAATAACTCATATAAGGTTACATTTATTTTTAAAGATAAAAAGTCAAATGATTAGTACTTATTGCTAGAATTATTCACAGGTCATTACAGCAAATGGAACAAAAGTTTCGTGGAAAAAACCTTGTTTTTCTATCATTTTTCCCTTCGTTTGAATACATATTTCTAGCATGAAACATACTGAACACATACTATGTGCCTACCAGGCCCTTTGATAGGCACTAAGGAAAATGAAAAAAGAAAAAAATAAATTGGTCTTGTATCTGCCCTCCGTGAACAGAGTTTAGTGGACACTAAGAGAATTAAACATGGGAAGAAAACTGACAGTATTATGTGCCAGAGCCTGTGCTAGCAGGTTTTCACATTAAATATTTAATTTTAATGCAAATTCTGTGAGCTAGATTTATAGTGAGAAAACCAGGAGGTTAGAGACGGTAGGTATCTGTGAACCGTATGAGTATGGAAATGCTGCTTTTATAGATCAAAAAGGGTCAAATATGACTTTCCCAAGCTATGAATAGACAGAGCCAGGATTCACATACACAAGCATCTCCTCTCAGTTTCATCACACATTTTTTATAAAATCTTTTATTTTGAGTCATTAGTAATTAATTATTAGTGAATATGCCTACAACTGGAATAAATCTGAAGAAGGAAAACGAAAACCAGTACAAATCCTTTCCCAATATATTTACTTTCAACAAATCCATATCGACAAATTTCAAGACAGTGTAACGTCATTCAGGAATGAGGTTCTACTTTTTCCATTTAACTCAAGGTAAAGGAACAGGCGGGTTCAATATAAAAAGCTCCAAAAGGATCTTAAGGAGTCTAGTCCAATTCAGTCTTCACAAGGGATGAAGTGCAAATTAAAAATCCACCCCTTCACTAATATTAAAATCACCAGAGGTAATAATGTCTAATATTTATTAAAGACTTACTATACTGGCTACCATATTAAACATCTTAGACGTGTTAGCACATTTAATTCTATCAGCAATTGTAGAATATTTTTTAACGTCCATTTTATAGACCTGGTGACTAAGGCTTAGAGAGTCCAAAAAATTGCCCAAGGACATACAGCTCCTAAACTGCAGAGTGAGAATTTAAATACAGACAACTTGATCCATGGCCTGACTTAACCTCTAACACTAGACAGCCTCAGTTATTAAAATATTCAATATCCCAAACACTTAATTCTTTCTCTATTTGTAGCACTATCATTAAATTGCCCACCAGTTAATTTTTATTAAATTAAATGAGATAAACAGATATCGAGTATGAATTTGTATCATATAAAAATTATAGAATACAAATAATGCTTTGGTACTAAAAGTTCCAGTTGTTAAGCATGGGGAAAATGCCACACCACCGTCTGAAAACATACACTAAAGAGTCCCCCAAAACTCTGCAGTGTAGACCAGGTAGGCACACCTCCTAACCACATAATAATTCCACAAGACAGACCCATAGTATCCTCATCCATCTCTTGCCACTCATGAATCCTTCAACTGATCATCAGATAGTGGAGAATGTTACGTACCTACGATACCTGGGGCGGTAAGTTGGATTTCGATGAACTGGTCCCTGCAGTTGTGCTCCCTCTGGGACTCCATCCTTCATCTCTCCCATCTCACCAGCCTAGAGAGAACAATGATGGCTGACAGTGAGTGTCATGGGGCATGCAGAAGACACACAGAACCTAAGTTAGTTGTGTTCAGAACTTCTTTAAAAAGCAAGAAATAAAATGTTTCATTAAAAAACTGGACATTCTCAGCTGTAACAGTGAATTATTTATTGATTAGATCTTTGTGAATGATAGGAAAGGAAGAAAAACTCATTCCTACTATAACAGTCTTTTGCCTTATCCCAGAGCCCCAACTTTATTTTACAATATTGACTTAACATTTTGAAATCTGACACATTCCCTTCAGCTCTTGAAAGAAAACCTACTTTATAAAAGGAAATGGAATGACATACCACATTTAAGCAATGATACCTTCTCTCTCGTTTCAAACTCAGAGCCACTAATTCTACAAACTGGCATCTCTTCAATAGCATGAACAGTTCTACAAAGGTTCTTCCCACCTCACTATCACGAGTTGTATCCAAATCTTAACCACACCTTCAGCTCTGATTTCTTCCTTTTTTTCCTTTTATCTGCTGGTGTATTCATGTATAACATTAAACAAAAAAATATACCTTCTTGATGACAAATGTAATAAAATTAACTTATTTTGTATAACTTTCAGGAGGAAGAATGAACAATTAAAAACTAACAAACAAAAAAAAAATCAAGCAACATTCTCTGAAATTCTTTACCATACCTCCATATCTCAACTTTTTCTTTTCTCAAAACTAACATCTCCTCTTCTACCTCAGGGCCAAATACCATCCTTCATATTTGACTGAGAAAATGAAAACAGAAGAGAATTTCCACATTCTCCCGTTATCGAATCTACCAACCCACCTGAACTTGTAATAATTTTCTTCTTTCCCATTACACTGGTCCATGCTTATATCAAAAACCGACCCCTCTATTCTTACCAAGCAGAGCAGACTGACTTTATTTATCTCTTCCTTCTCTTCTTCACTATGAACTTTTTTCCTTGTCTACTCCATCATTTCCATCCAGGCATATAAACATATTGAAATAGCACCCATCTTTTAAAATTTTTTTAAATTTTGAAATAATCACAAACGGAGAAGTTGGAAGTATAGAATCTAATCCTCAGACCCCGTTCGAGTTTCACCATGAATCCCGATGTCTTTTACAGCAAAAAGACCCACTGAGAATCATACACTGAATTAAGTTCTATCTTTTTTTTTTT